CCTGCCTGTGGGAGACAGATTAGGAGACTGAATTGCTGAATTCCTGGAAGGTGGTGGAGTAACTATAGATAGTGAAACTGCCCTTTGCAGAAACTCATAGATGCTATCAGAAGTGCAGAGCCACGTTAATTTCAGTGTTTTGTGAAAGGTAACAAAGCCATTTGTAGAATGAAATGTAACAGATTACATGGGAACTGATGTAGGATTGCCGAGTCTTGTTAAATTTTCTCAATTGTCACAATTTTTGTAGGCTTTTAAGCTGCCTGCTGGCAGGCAAATTTTATTTAATTTTTGTCTTTTAAAAAGCAGTTACTGTTATTTCATTCCAGCTAAAATCAAGAGCTGTTCTCTGCCATGATTGTCTCTTTGTGTCCTTATAAATAGAATCCTCTTATTAAGAAGAATCCAGGCCTATTTCTTGCTTCATGACATGGGCATAAAGCCTTGCTTGGGCAAGAAAATGATCAGGAAAACATATTATTAGATAGTGGGTGTTGGACAAGGAGGCTGAGGCAACGTATGAAAGAGAAAATACGTGGGAAGTAAATACCAGGAAGGAAAGAAGATTGGGAAAGAAGGGTGCTAAGAGAAGTCCCACTGAGTACAGGGATCAGGAAGCCATAGCACAGACAATTTGTATGAACTGGGCAGTGGGAGAAAAGTGAAAGCAGGGGGAGGGTTTAAAAGAAGGGTGTGAACGCAGGGTGTTAAGGCAATGGTTCTGTCAGAGTGGTCAGTTTGTTTGGAACCAGGCTGGTCTTCAAATCCATCCTGTCATGAAGGGCTGAGGGAGCTTGTTTAGGATGACAGACTCAGTTAAATTGGTTCCTGCAGCTGGCCCTGGAGCATGGAAGAGTCCAAGTGAAATGACAGACTTAGATGCTAGTTGTTATTCATTTTACTGGGTTGTCACTTGAAATGCACAGTGAAGGAAGGGCCTGAAGAAGGTTGCAGCTTGTTAAGGGTTCTTACTGAGCAGGCTATGCAGTCCCAGTGATACAGGACAAGTAGGTAAAAATGGTGATAAAAGAATATCTGGTAATATCTGATTACCAGGTTAACCCTGCTCCATCTCCTACCTGTGGTGAGGCCACTTCCTTGCATATACATGGGAGGACCTGCACTCTAGTGTTGCCCTACATCCTCAGCTCATCCTGGTGAATCATCAGTACAGGAAGTTACAAGACTTGTAAAAATGCCATTTCATTTTTCTCCAAACAGGTCTAACCTTTTCATGAGTAAAAATTGGAATTGTGTGTGTATATAGGCTTCTGGAAAAGCCTTACAGGGCAATCTTCTTTTGCCCATAGGGCCTGTGTTCACCCTCTGGTGTTTGCCTTTGTTCTAGTTCTGGGATAAAATTGGGAAGGTTTTTATCATGACAGTCTTTCAGAGAGAACCTGAAAAATCAGTCTTGCTCAGGAGCCATCCTGTGTTGGACTTTGGCATTGAGTGACAAGTAGTATTAGTTTCCTTTTGAGATCTTTTAAGTGTGCCCAGTTAAGGAAGAGGTTGGCAGGTGGATTAGCAGAAAACCTCAACTTGCACTTGTGTATAAAGTATGGAATGTGGTAGACTGAGATCTTTTGGATAGCATAGACAATAACAGCACAGTTTAAAAAAGAGAAGCATTAAACTCCTTTGTTATATTCTCCATGAAGTTTACAGCCCACATTATGCACTAAAAATTTGGATGTTTTTTCTGTTGCTGTCAACCTATAAAATTTACTTTAAAACCAAAAAAGATAAAGCTCTGACTCGGTGATCTAATACTTCAGTAATTTACTATCATAAAATAGTTTTAAGTACAAATGTTTTATCTTATGCCAAGCTGGACGCTAAAGATGTTTTGTCTAAAACATGAGATAATGGAAAGTGTATTGTGGCATGTGAATTACTTAGCCTTTTGGTGGTAAATGTTTGCTTAACCAGAAAAGAATGTGTTGAGGTCCTTGCCAAAGGAAAGGTATTGCCATACTTTGCATTTAGAGTACTGTAAATAAAGCAGTAAATATGTTTCTGTTCATGTGTGTTAATCCACAAGTTATGAATGCATCCATTCAATAAGAAATGTAATATACTGTTATCCCTTTTAAAAGGTTTCAGTAAGAAGAGGTTATAATTACTTTGGGTTGAGAGAAACATGAAACCAAATATTTTCATGATGATTGAAGTTGAATATGAGAGAGAAATAGTTTTTGCTCAGACTAAGTTTCTCTTAAATCCCAAGAACTCAAATCCTGTTTTACCTTCAATATTCTTCTTGTGTGCTGACTCCTCTGATGTAGTGTTCTTAATCACATGTTACTGTAAACCATAAAGTATATCATTTCCTTCGCCCATCCAGTGTTGTTTTTGGCAAAAGAAAACCCAACTGCATAATATGTTAATGATCAGAGAAGGCAGAGCAGCTGTGGGAAATACTCCACTTATTGCCCGCAGTGTATTTTGGTTTTGAACTTCATTTGCCTTTAACAGATACAATAGTTTAGTAGTAATTTAATAATGCTGATTACAGAAAGAATTGCATAACTCAGATTGCAGCGTAATAACATCAGAGCGTATGTTGGATGCCACATAGCAAGTGAAAGCAACAGGGTTTCTCTTGTACAGGGCTTTGAAATATCCCTTCTTTTCCCTAAAATCCCACATCTAGGTTTCCAGTTAGAAGTTGGGAGCAGGTATTACAATTCTAGGAAATAATTGTGGAGAAGATGCTCAGTTTACTTTTTATTACTGTGGCATCATTTGTTACGTACCTGACTTCACCCTCCAGCATGAAGAGGAGACCTTTTCTGGGAAAGAACTGCACATCTGAGTCATGCTTCTCTTGCAGCATACACATATGTGGGGATTTCTACAAGGATTTTCTTGCAGATGGTGCTGTAAGCAGAGATTTCCTTAGGCATAAATGGGGATATCGTACCACCTTTTAGAAATTATTACACCAGTGTTCTGTGTATCAGAGCCCTTACTTCTACAAACCCAGAACTCTGAAGTGCTTCAAAATACACCTTTGCTTTAGTAGTTGTTCAGATTAGCTTTTTATTTCACCTTCCAAGTATTTCACTGATAATTCATAAGCAAATGTGATAATAAGGTTCACTACTAACCATGTAAATTAAACCTGTAGTGTTAAAGCCCGTAGGTAGAACGTAAGTTCTACTTACTAAGTTAGTTATTTTAAATTTAGAATCTAATTTTGGTAAATCTATCCATTTTGATAACCCTAAGTCCATATCCAGTTTTGGTAAAGATATTCGTTACAGACTCATAAAATATTTCAGCCCTTAGAGAAATTTTGCTTTTATTCTCCCCTTGTTCTTACGCTTAGGTGTTAGGAGGGTTTAAAAAAAAAATGTAGTTGGATAATAAGACTGGATTTGTAATTTGAATCATAAGTTAGTTCTTCTGAACATGATATCAACTGAAAATCCTGTGACTTGCCAGAAAGCTTTTCCCCTCAGAAGGTGTACATTATGGTTTTGGTAGTATTAAATAGTAAATACTATTTACTACTAATAAAATAGTAGTAGTTTGGTAGTATAAACATAAACATTATGGGTTTGGTAGTATTAAATTAAAAAATAACATTATTTATTATCAAAAGTAAAAGTCCCTGTTATTTTTAAGGTACAATGAGTTGGATGCCAGTAGAAGCCTCCTAGACAATTTGAAAGGCAAAGTAATAATTGAGTATCCAACGTTATTTGTGGTCTTGAAAACACTGAAGAATGACATGGTGGTTCTTGGCCAGGGTAAGTATTTATTTATTTCCTGTTATGCTATACTTCCATATTTTAGTTAACTGTATCCTTAATTATTGCTTATTTATTAATAATGACAGGAATTTGCAGTATGTCTCGTATTTCCCTCTGAGTCTAAAATGTTGCTATAAAAAGCTGTTATGAATGCTCTGTGTTAAAACTGCTGGCTGATGGCTTACATCCATAAACTGCCTTGTTTGTGTTTTTCCTAACTTTGTTTACTGGTGCTTGAATCTTTTTTTTGTATATTTTTAGCCACTAAGGTAAAACAACTTTTCAGATTTGTGATAAATTTTGCACGCAGCAAAGTTTGACAGAGTTGGTTATTTCTAAAAAACCAAGCTGTCTGGGGAGGATAAGTTTTAAATAAACCTTCCTGTTCATACAAAGGAATCATTCCCCATTATTTCCTAGCATAGCTCCTAACCTTGGGCAAATAATTCTGAATTAGGGGATAGTTATTAGAAATCGTAATGGCAAAGTAGCTTTTCAGGTGGGTTAAAAACACAATGTTATCTTTCGAAAAGTACTTAGTTGAGGGAAAACTTCCATCTTGGAGTGAACTTAGAGGAGAGACCAGGCCTAGCAGGGATTTGTATTTTAGTTTTGAGTTAGTTTCTATCTTTCTCCTCAGTATAAAGGCTTCGTGTCCCAGCTTTGCTTTCTACAGCTGCTGATACAGGGAATCCGTGTCCTTTTTCCTTAGTCCCCCAGCTAGTCACTTTAGTTATCAAATGCCATACTCTTCAGTGCTGAGCCAGTCTGTAATTTTTGCAGATTTCAGAGGGAAAGCTTTGGATACGTTTGTGATGGCTGTTTCCCTGTGGCAACTCAGTCATATGTGTATAATTTGACTGAATGAATATGAGACTGAGAATATTATACCAGTGATATCAAACTTCCATGGATCTTGGCTGTTCTGACTAGATGATGCAAAGCGACCCATTGGAGCAACCTGCTCTCAGAGAAATGTCATGCAAACATTTCTTGCACTATGTACAGCAAGAGCTTCTGAGAGTGAGACACCGTGCCAGGGAATGGGGTAGGATTCTTGTCTGAGCAACTAGGTCCACTCATATTTACCCTAGGAGTGCACATACATATACTGGAGTACAAGGAAACTAGGTGTCTTCAGTTTATCCATTATTTTGTGATCTAGGTCCCTTGCTTTTCAGTAGTCAGCCCTATCCCTATGATGTAGATGTCAGGGGGAATTAAAATTGATTGACTCATGAACTTAATCTGAATATGGTGGTTGTTACTGTCTCCTGAGGTAGTAGGGAGGTTGTCCTTTTAAGGGTATAGATTCAGTTAAGTGTTGATGGAACAACTATATTTTGAGGTCGTGCTGCCGCAGCAATTAGCTGATTCTGTAAAAGGCAGAGTAGAAGGGCAAAGGGAGGAGAGAGACAGTAATAGCTGGGGAAGTGCCCATAGCTCCCACAGGACAGTGCAAGTGTGTGTCTTCAAGATGGTGACCTTCTTCTTCTGCTCCTACTTACCCTATCTCTGCCAATACTGCCTTTCCTTTCTGCCTCCCTTGTCTGTGCACCCCCAGAGGGACACTTGTCTTGGAGGGCTTGTCTAGCTGACCTTCCCGTGGCATTCCAGGAAAATATCTGCCACATTGATGAGTAGATGTCTGGCAGGGTGTCTGCCAGAGCACAGGGGCTTTCACTACCATAGCCCTCCAGGGTCAGTTTGCAAAGGACCTGGGCTAGAACAAGAAACAAAGTCTTCTGGAAATATAACTGCTAAAATGATGTTTCTTAACTGAGCAGTCTCAGATCTACCCCTTCCCCAGGAAGGACAGAGGCAGGTGTTCTTAGCCACAGCAAGAGGCATCTGCAGGCAAAAGATCACCGTTCCCCACTGCGATTCACCTTACTACCCCCAGTGACTGGGGGAGAGCTAGAGCTGGACGCCTTCAAAGAGAGACTGCTAGAATTTAATGGGGACAAAGCCTGATTCTTCTATCCTTGTTCTCAGAAATGGCTGAAGTATTTTACCCGAAATTTTAAAAAAACCAAAAGGATTGAAGAATGAAACTGGCACTGAAAAATCTAAACCCAGAGTTTAAATTTTACATTATAAGTAACCTGCAGACAGTTTTATGGTGAGAAGAACTGGGCAATCTTAATTTATAGGCAGTGCTATCAACACCATAAAAATATGTTACTTTTGAGTTAAGGCAATCTATAATTGCTGTTAAATAAAACTTACTGTAGCAGACTAAACTAAAGCTAAAATCTGTCTGTTGAGCTTCACTGTGAGTCAGAAGATTGCCACATTCTTTTATGTGATGTTTTGATGCTTGACTTGCTTATAGCAAAAACTATAGGTGCTCCGATTTCAGCATACAAGGTCAGTCATGGCTGAAGATAGTAGGGGATTATAGAAGCTTTCACAGGACTTAGGGGCAAAAACAATCCTTACTTTGTGCATTACTCAGTACATATCTGGCATATAAATGTTAATTGATTATACACTAGATTTAATGTGGACAAAATGTGACCTCCGATGTTTCTGGGTGAAATGCTTCTATTTTCTTGAACAAATTCCATTGAAACTGTACAGGTGCACACTGTGTCCTATGTATTATCTGAGTTTGCCAGCTGTAGAACTTATCTTGACAAGACAGTAACTGTACTGCATCAGCTCCCTTTTGGTAACATTTCCTTAATGAAGCATCTGACAGTAAATGCTCAAAAACTTCTTTAAAATCATAGTCGGATCAAAGGCTGAAAATAACAATGAGAGCGGAGGGTGAATCATGGGCCTGCTTTGCTGTAGTTTATTTTTGTGCTGCTTGAGTGCCAATGACCCGTGGCATTTGGTGACCTCACCACAAGGTGACTGGGCTGGGTGCTTGTTAAAGAAGGAGTCCCAAGATGTGAGGCTTAAGACCAGTTTGGGACATGAGCGCTTCACGATACGATCTCAGCAGACCAGAACAGCTGTGTCCTAAAGCACAACTTATTGTGCAGCTTTAACTTCATCAGCCTTAGCTCATGGGTTCATGCAACTTGATACCACCTTTGGGATGATGGAACATGTGGAAGGAATACATAGGTGCATCATCTTAATTTTCCACTTCCATTTAGAATTTCTCTTTAGTTCCTCATCTTAACTGAAATGCTAATAAAAATGTAGATGACTTATAATTCATTACAGTTGTTACATAGATGTAGCAACCCAGAAAACAACATTTAAAACAAGTAAGCCAAGAGAACAATTTGAAGTTCACAAGTGGATGAAGAGGAAGAGTTTTGTGTGGGATAAATACTCTGCTTATCTACTTGACTGAAAGACCAGGATTTAAAAACTGAAAGAAATTCTCAACATCGTGTTGCTTTCTCCTTCAGCCACAAGGTCCTACCCAGGGCTTTATCCCATGTTACGAGACTGGTTATGTCTTATGAAATAGCTGTCCTCAAGGAAAGTGAGATTAAAAGGAAAAGAAGATATGAAAGTGCTTCTGTTTGATGAGCAAACAACATTGCTGAAACTAATTGCTTGCTTGTTTTTTGTTTGCATCCTACACCCTCAGATGCCAGTGAACCTGCGAAGAACTCGGACAGTGAAAGTTCATCCTTTTCATCTGTGGAAGAAGGGGAAATTCGTGACAGTTCATGATGGTTCTTGGCCAGAAGAGGATGGAATGAGCCTTTTATATTTTGTTTTTATTTAATTAAATCCTTTTTTTATACAGCTAAGTTCTCAGATGTTTGGTTTGCCTTCCTTCACTAAAGGCAGCACTTCCAAACTGCCTGCCTATTTTTGGAATGCATATTTAGGGATGTAAACAAAGAGATGGGGAATTGCTGATTCCAGAAAAAAATGATATTTGATTGCACCCTTTTTTCCATCTGTCTTTAATAAATCAGAGTAAACCAAATTTAAAGTTTGCGAGTTAGTTTCAACAATATATCTTTTCCTATTACCATGACAGCTCAGTATCTGATTTCTGAGTTTAAGTATCTGATGTATGTGGATTTGAGTCTTAGTACTTAAACTTACTGAAAAAAACCCACTGGCGTTTCATTACATTAATTTTCTTTTAGGGTGATTCTTTGTCGTGCTGAGCTGCTGCAAATAATCTTACTTTAATCTTCTGTGGTGACATTTTGGGTGCCTGGTGCAATACATTTTGTTTTGGTTTGTTTTTTTTCTTACTTGGTTGCATCTTGTCTAATGTGTAAAGGGCAGATCAAACCATGTTTTCAGGGTAGCATGTTGCTGTATGATTAATCTTCTACCCTGAACTTCTAAATTAGCATGGGTTTTGAAATCAATAGAAATGGATAGATAGAGTGTCACTAGTGCTAATATACTTAACTTCTAAACAATGCTTATGTTCTGCACCTCATATTAGTAGTTTAACTACTGAAGCCAGGTATTTTAAATATTTACTGGAATATCAACTAAATTTACCTACTGAAAAACAAATAAACCTTAAAAATAGTCCTGTACTGTATCATCTGCTGATAACAGAAGTGTGTTTTTAACTCCTGAGGAGATTTCTAGATCCCAGAGCACTGAGCACTGTATCTAAGTCTCCCACGCCTGTGGGGTCTGTTGGAGGACGAGAACAGCATGCACTGCAAGTGATGTGAGACAGGTGAACCCCTCTGCACACTTGCACCAGGGAGTTCTCGGGAATCAGCATAGGCATTTGGGCTTAGTTTGCAAGGGTCTAGCTCAGGCAGCATTTGTAAAGTCCTTATGGGCATGATCACTTGGTCAACAGCTCTGTGAGGTTGTTGCTGCCATTGTTGTTACCCCAGGCTGTTTGTCTCCTGCTTGAGACTAGCACCTTTGTGACAAAAGTTGGTGGCATGGGATGCACACTGAACTGCCACGAAGGTGGTTTTTCAGTCATAAGTGTTCTTCCTGCCAGTGCTGATATTGTGAGTAGAAAGACAACAGAAAGCAGTGAAGGCACTTGTTGAGGAACAGAAGCAATACAAGAGAGGGCTCAGCTTCCAGTCTAGGCTTCAGGGCACCAGGTTGTCAGTTCCTCACCAGTCGTGCTGTGTGGAGAGGATTTTTGAGATGTTCAGAATTTTAGAAGTTATTTTTTTCAGACCTTTGCAAACAAATTCTCATTAAAAAAATCGTTCACCATAACATGTAGCTACTGCAGTTCGGAAAGAGCGTCAGACCTTTGTAGTCACATACTACTTTCTCACAGCAGCACCACGTGTCCTTTCCCTTATGTGTTTTGCAACCCCTGGTAAAACAGGGAAGTTTTTCTTCTTGCCTGGCCGTAGCCACCTGTGCTCTATTTTCTTTTTCAGTCGTTGTTGGTCCTCTGCCCACCTCTTGTTTCAATATTTGTTTTTTTAACCCTTTTTAAAGGACCAGGATTCCTAGCTATAGGTGCTGCTTTCATATTTTTTCAGTTCAGTGAAAGTGAATAAGCTTTTCCTAATCAGTGATTACTGCACGCTGACTTGGTAGCCACAAATTACTTTAAACCAGTCTTGAACCCATTCATAATAACACCAATAAAAGAGCAGAACAGCAAAACTGCCACAGTTCATTTGCCAGAAAATGTTTCATCTGGAGTAAAAGCGTGGCATTTCTGGTAAGATTCATAGCACACAGTGGAAATAAGAGTGCTGCAAATATTAGTGTTTTCTGCATGTGTATGTGATTAGTCTTTGGCTGAGACTTGTAATTTACATTACTTTCCTACACTCTTGTAGGTTTTCATTAATTGTATGAAGGCGTTTGCCTGCGGGTTTTTTTCTTACATAAATCTAGTTTAAGCTTCCTTGTGAGTCAAATGCAGCCGTAAATTGTTTTTAAATGAAGACACTGTTAAATCTATCCTTCAGATTTAAATCTTTTCCTACCTTAAAGAAGGTTTTAAAAAATGATTAAGGAGCATTCCTGTGGCAGTTACTAGAACTGAAATTTCCCAAACAAAGCTGGGAATCATCTTCTAGATTTCAATCAAATTGAGAGTAAAAGGCCTTCGTAGCATTTGCCATTCATTCCCAGGTAACTATTTACCTATTTTTATTTGATTTTGATAATAGTTACACTAGTTTGAACAGCAGTGATTCATCAAATGCAAGCCAAGATGAAATTTGAATATTTTTATTCAGTTTTGCTAAACTTTTTCAATTTTTGTTTATAAAAATGAATCAGAATTATGGTCTCTGGCTAAAAGCACAGCCTTACTGGTGACAGGTGACCAGTGCAGGTCCTGCAGCAGTGTTAATTCTTCATAATAATAAGGTGACTTAACCCAGAACAAGCATCTTGTAATAAACTGAAGAGAGAAAATGCATCTTTAAAAGCTGTATTTTTAAATTTCTGGTCAAGCACTTGAAATTTAAGACATGGAGCTGAGGCTGGCTGGAAGACTTCAGTTCCATCCATTTTGAAAACATGCTATTGTAATCACATTATACGAGGATCCCTACAGGACTCTGCCTTGATTCAGCGCAGATGATGTCTGTGAATGAAAACTGTGTAATGTTGTTTTAATCTTCATCATTCAACACCAGCTTGTGTTGAGTGCTTGATTTTATGCCTACTACGCTTACTCATTTATTTTCCTCTTTAAACTACTTGTCACAGAAGGAACAAGCTATTTGTGTGTAGGCTGTTACGGCATTTCTTCTAATGTTTAGACTTCTCAGGTTTCACACCCTGAACTCTCACAGCATGCTTGAGCTGAAGGACCATCAGCTTACAAAGTGAAGAGTAAAGGCTCTTGTCCTGAATGAACATGCTACTTAAAAAAATTAAAAGCTTAATGAAGTCATCCCTTTCACAAGCCATAAGGGACAAAAATAGAGCATAGCTAAGCGCATAGCAATAGCCAAGAGGTGGGATTGAGTCAGCTGTATGAGAGAACTTGGTTCTTTTCCTTTTTTGTATAACTTCCTGGGAGTATGAGGCATACGTTACTGAGTTGTCATGGGTAAACAATGTTGTAGCCCTTTAGTGTAACAGCAGAGTTTTGAATTAACACATCTGAATTGTAGGTTTTACTGTATTTATCTCCACATTAGGAATTGTTGATCCATAGAGGAAAAGAAGGTCACGCTACAAAATGCGTGGTTGGCACTAGGTCTTAGAGGCATGGCAGCCCAATTTTTGTTTCTCCAGTTGAACAGTGCAGTTTTACTTTGCATTAAGACTAAAACTGTTTACCGTGCAGAACACACACTGTAGTCTAAAAAAGCACATAAATGTCGAAGTTTGCTGTAGTGCTGATAGGAAGTCCAGCCTCTGTGTTGTGTATAAGCCAGCTGTGATTCCAGCCCTGCCTGGCCAGATACGGCTGTTCTCTATTGACATCTGTAGGAACTGAGAATGTATAACACCTTGCAAGAGCAAAGAGTGAATATACAGCTGTGATGATGTAACTTCAGGCCATATTTAGTCACAAACATTTAATTCTGCTTTCTTAAGTCCCAAGCTCTTTTCCTAAAAACATTTATTCTTCCTCCCTCCAAAGGAAAAAAAAAAAATCTTGAATTTGTGTTTATGTTGTTGCTATGACATTCAGTTAAACTCTATGCAGATGCAGGTTCTGTTAATAAGAGAAAAAAAAACGGTCTGTGTACTTCAGTGAACAAAGATCACCCTGTGTTTGTGTTAAAATGTTGCTATGGCAGTGCATATGGTTTTATTTGGTGGAAATTTGTGGTGAAATAGAAGGAAGTCGCATGTATGCAAGACAAACCAACTCAAACACTGAAACTGAAAGGGAAGTTGCAGATGACATGTAGAACCAGGAAAAAACCAAGGATGGTTATTTTGCTGCCTGTCTGTGATTTGATAACAGAAATGTGTTCCCAGTGTGTCTTGCTGGGTCTCGGTGACCTGTCGGACAGTGACTTAGCTCCAGTGATGCTTTTATTGCAACAGCTTCTTTCCCTCCTTGGCTCTGTGCATTGTAACATTTTTTTGTTTTGGAAGCAAAGTGCCACTGGCTTGGCCGGATTTCACCACTGCTGACTTTTCCTGATGGAAAGCATTTCCAAGCTATCTTATTGTAGTAGGCTTTTTGGCAGGAAAAATCAATAGAGTGGTAAAATATGGAAAGCCGCTAGAGCCTCGCCTGCCTTTGGGGCAAGGGGAAGTCTTTTTGGACTCACTGGCTCCTACTAGTGATAGAAACGGTGGATTTTTTTTTTTTAACTGGCACAGTAGTCCCCATATTTATCTAGTCCTGTTGCGTTAGGCTTCTTTTTGCATCAGTTGCATCAGTAGAGCTGTTTGTGGGGCTATGTGACAAATAAGAGCAGGTTAAAAATAATCCACTAAAGAGGCAGGGATAGAAATGAGAGGGGAGAGGGAGTCTTGAAGAGAATAAATTACCACACTGGGAGCCAGCGGGTTCCTGCGTGATCCCAGCTGGTGGATAAAGCAAAAGCGTTTAAAATCACGTTGACACTTTCTTCCTGTCATCCCAATCCTGCCTCAAAACGGAGGAAGTGACTGTGACAGCTGCCTATTGCCTTTCCACTCCTTGCTTCCAGGTTTCTACTGTAGGCCCAGAACCTGTCTACTTTGCCAATATGCCACCTCCAGTATGCCCAAGTGAGGTGAAAATGAAGTTGGTGGATGAGGTACAGGCATTCAGGAAAAAGAGCAGACAGGGGTGGTGTCTCTGTTGACCTCTTTTCCCAACCTGTACTTTCACCTGTGCTTGGGCATCCATATTGGCTTTAATGAGATTTTTCCACTACAGCACAAGTATCTGCTTCTATGGAGTAAAATATATTTTCCTGTGTTAAATTCTCATTAATAGACTTGCTGATTCTACAACCATGCTGTCTTGATGTCTAATTTTGTCAAATTCATGAGCTAATTAGGATCTAACCTGGTTAGTTTGAGATGCTCAAGGAAATCAGCAGCTTCTGAGAAACTGATGTCTTAGACAATCTGCTAGGCTCCTTTTGATCTGGTGTTCAACCAGTGTTCTCAGAATATTGCTGGACCACACTGCTGACTGTTCAGCTGACATCTATAATGGATCACTGGTACTGAAATTGCATTCATATTCATAGAATCATAGAATGGTTTAGGTGGGAAGGGACCTTAAAGATCATCTATTTCCAGCCTCCCTGCCATGAGCAGAGACACGTTCCACTAGACCAGGTTGCTCAAAGCCTCATCCAACCTGGCCTTCCAGGGAGGGATCATTCACAACTTCTCTGGGCATCAGTTTAAGTTGTCAGTGTGTCCTAGATACCCATCTGGGCAAATCTCTGCACCCTGTCTTTAAATTTCTTCTGTCTACTAAATGAAGACCTTGCAAAGTCTTGTGTAATTTCCTCCTGGACTGTTGCTACATTCCATCCCGTAGCATACTTCAAGACAGATGAAGTTGCTTATGTGAATGGTGCCTCAGAGTCTTTCAGGATCTTCTTTGATATAAATTGTGTATCTAGAAGTTAAAGCTCTGTAGTTTGGTTTTGTTGGGGTTTCTCTTTGGGGGGGGAGTCATAGCAGACTGGATACCATCTATTTAGTTTATTGGGGTTTGGTTTTTACAGGGTAATAGACACAGATGCTTATTGCATCATTTTGTTGGTTGAAGTCTTCTTTTACAAGATTTGTATTTTCTAGACATCAAGTCTCACTGTAGGTCAGTGCAGTTCAGTTGTTCATGAGTTGATTTATAGATATCTCCAAAGGTAGTTGTATGTTATTGCTTTCACCATGGCACCTCCCCATTTCTGTGTGCTGTTTTATACATGGCTGTGTAACACGGAGAAAAAAAATTGTGAAGATGAAAACAGGGACATGTCTACATGAAAAAACAGGCTTGAGGCAGAGCAGCCGGTGAAACTACACAGCCCCCCCTTGCTGTGTGCTGAGCACTCTGGGCACTGTATGGAAATAGTTCCACTGATTAAACAGGAGTAAACTAAAATGCACACGCTGCAGGATCAGCTCAGAAGGGCCAGCATCTGGAAGGAGCAAGCTCTGGTGTGACACATCTAACTGCTTCTGTGGAGGTAGGATTGGCTTCCAACCCTGAATGACTGCCCACTGCAAAGTTTCTTGTTTTGGGCCTCAAGACCTGTGCAGCTGTGGCTCAGAAAGTCTCCTGCATACCCAAACCTGTGGCCGAGCTGCTTGTCGGGAGTGGGGGAGGGATTCACGCAGCTTCAGTGGCCTGTGAGCACAGGAAGTCCTCTTGCAGCAATTCCACCGATCCACAGTGTCTCTGCCTGTTCCCACGTGCCCACCGGCGATGGGCCCGATTCCCAGGGGTCGGGCAGCCCAGTGGGGACTGCTTTGCTGTGGGCTCTGCAGTAATTTATATATGGAGTACGGAGGTTGCCATGGCTCAGCTTGGGGAGGGTTCATCAATAGCTTGGCTGACCCACTGTCAGTAAGATGTCAGCTTTTCCTCTCAGGGGAGCGAGCTGGCAGCATCCCACGAGAGGGGCTTCAGTGTAATCATGGAAGTCTGTTTTCTGCATACTCCTGCTTTTGTCTTGTTTCCTGTGATGCAGCCCTTAGGGAAGCAAAATCTTTGTCTTCACTGTGTTGCCTTCATTAGCAGGGAAGATTGCATATGTAACCCTGATGTTACGGTGGTTACCACCATCAGACCCTTGTAAATAAGCACACTGGATACAGGAATAGGTGTTTGTTCAGTCCTAAAACTGTAGTTTGACAAAAGCTCCTTTTGGCGGCAGCAGCAGCTTCAGCAAACTGCCCCACGCCACCGCGCTCCATCCCCGGGTGACCCCAGCACTTGCACCGGTACGGCTGGCTGGGGGGCTGCGTGACAAATCAGAGCAGCTTAAAAATACACAGCCAAAGGACCAGGGACTGACATACGAAGGGAGAAGTGGGACAGCTGAAGCAGGGGCTGCTGTGGAGGGGACAGTGCCCGCAGGCTTCGGTAGCATTTCTTGACCTCTCGGACAAGCACGGGGGTCTCGTGGTCTCTGCCCAGCTTGGAGGAGCACCACGCAGGGCAGGTGGCTTTATTGTCAGGACTTTAACTGCTTGATGGCCCGGCATTAGCATGTGCTGAAAACTTACTGCTTCTTGTCATGTACATTATCTATTATGGTCCTCACTCCTCATCTTTTAGTATTCGTCTTGAAGAAGGATTTTGGTATTTTAGTTTTTGTCTAAGAAATAAAATTATAGTTGTGCTTATTGACCTTACCTGTAAGCCCTGCCTGTTGCACTTAAAGGAACCCATGCTTTCACTGTTTATATTTTTATGCCTACTATTTTGGGTTTTTTCTGATGGAATGACAGAGGGTATAAAGATTTAAAAGCAAGTGCAAAGATGAGATACAAAAAATTACAGTGATTCATTTTACAGTATTGAAAATTGTGGGTTTCATTAGTTTTGCCGTGTAATTGTGAAATGCAAAAAGTGAAGAGGGGACTATATGGATGATGATCGGTTGGTGTGAGATCCCAGCTCTGGAAGACTTGCAGTTCATTTAAGCGAGGTTCATTTCCTCTCTTTGTAGCAGGATAATTTAATTTAGTATATTTTACTCTTATGTTTGCTCCTTTTACTCTTATGTTTGTTTAGTATATTTTACTCTTATGATCTGCTCCTGCAGCACTTATTCTCCCAACAGTACATTTTTGTTTAGCAAGCAGATTACAGAACCACCGCTCTGCTCAATGAAACATGGAAAGCCCAAAGTGCAGGTTGTAAAATCCAGGGCCTGGCTAGAGCCACACTTGAGGCAGGAGCTGTTTGTGTATGGGGTGCACGTTACAGACACAGAGTCCACACATATAGCATAGTCACAGGTATATGTAATTTTTCCGGGAGCTGTTACTTACGTTGGTTTGAAGATGGGTGTCATTCAGGGGTAAGTGTCAGGGGGAATGGCAAGGAACACGTGTGCAGCTGCTCTGTTCCTCTCTTCGTGCAGCAACCCAAGGTGTAAACCTGCTGATTTCTCAGTCAGCGGCTGAGGCAGTGACGTGTTCACTGCTGGATGTAAGTAGAAGCCAAACAAAAGCGCTCCACTGCGTTTTAAGCTTTTACTGTCAACAAATATTGTACAGACAAGTTTAGCTACAGCTGAGACTGGTGGCCAGGTGGTGAATTCCAAAACAGCTCAAGTTTTGAATGCCTTCGGGGAGAGAACTCGACTGAGCAGAAGAGAGACGGCTGTAATTTCTCAGGCAAAGCATTAGCTGCCAGAGATGAGCTCCTGAGATATTTGGCCATTTATTTTATTGAAATATTTATGTCTAATCTAATGAAAAGTTGACTCTTAACCACTCGTGTATCTAACTGGATGACACCCCTTCACAATTCTAAAACCTCAAAAATTAGTCTCTGGTTTTTATGAGAAGTAGCTTTCCTACTGAAGACTATGGGAGGATATTTTGCCAGAGAGCTAACCAGTGACAAGGAAGAGGGAAGAAAAAAAACAAACCCACCTGTTGCAGGTTTCCTTTCAGTCTGATCTGTCGTGCAGCTTTACAATACCCAGCAGAGTACAAATGTTTGATGCTGCTTTCTCAGATGCTCCTCTAGTTCATTTTTTTTTTTTAAATGTCATTTTCTTACTATGTGCCAGCTACCTTACCTCTTACAACTCCCTCAGTTAGCCAAATGTCATCTGTGTCCCCCAGGATAAAGTAATTACATATTTAAAAAGTAGGAAGGGGAGGTGAGGAAGAGAAAAGTGGCTGCTTTGCCTTTTACTCTATTGGAGAAGTACTTGAAATTCCTCACATTCTTCTCTTGTTAACAGTATGTTTACTTTTCATCACTGGGTTATTAGGATTAACAAAAGTCATTGCTTCAAGCTCATTTAATTTTAATTTAGTGAAAACAAACTACCTCCAGCAGACTGTAGGAAACATTCTTCTGCCACAGAAATGGACTGATTTGCAAAAAGCAGCCAACAAAAAACGTAAGACCTGACGACCACTTCCACCCCAATGTTCAACCTCACGTGCATGCACTGCATTCTAATGAAGTACTTTATGTTGCAAATTCCAGGATGGTTTGAATAATCTGACAGTCTAATTAACATTTCAGTCTATCAGACATTTGCTTTCAATACCAACCAGCTTTTTCTGTATCTACTTCCTAAGGCACAGGGTTGCAGACTGCATCTACCACTTCAACATGTCATTTACCCACAGAATTAGACTCTTGCTTTCTAGTTCATTGCTGCATCTGTAGTAGAGCTTGTTTTAATTTCCAGATGATCTAAGCTTTTCAGAATTCAAAGTTTTCACTGAAAGTTTTTGCATTTGCTATGTTTATGTCTGTTGCCTATCAGAATGCTCTACTAAACATAGTTAGGTAAATATTTCTTTATTAAATGATTAATTCCATAAATAAATTCTTTTAATTCATTGAATATAAAATTAAAATCATTTACAACTTATTCCAGTATTACAGGGGCTGGAAGGGGTAAAAAAAAAAAAAAAAAGTCAAAGGAAAACAAAAGAACTACAGTTTGATAAATAAAATACTCAGCTTTAAAACAACTGATTTCTGTTTGCCATTAAACTACAGTTGGTACATAATAGCTGCCACTGTGAACACTGAACAAGTGCCCACCTCAGGAAGGAATGTAACTTCCAACTTGGTTGGGAAAGGGGGAGAGGAGATGGAGGGAGGGGGAGAAGCATAGTGTTAAATTGAACAGGATAGAAAAAAAGTTTTCATAACCGAAACAAAACATTTATCTGATCACTTACAAACAGAAAACAGTATATAATTAGATAAGGTGCTCCAAAAAGAAGCAGTGAAGTTGCTCCAGTACTATGAAGCTTTAAGTATGCTTAAATCTGTTGCATTAGTGTCCAGTTGCACAGTGCACTCTCGTAACATCTCAATGTTGCCCTCAGAGGGGCAACGCACCATTTCCATCAAAGGTCCTTTTCTCCACGGCTGGTTACTTCAAAATTCTGTTTAGCATCCCACCCCCAACACAACTCAGTCCCTAAATTTGTGAATGTCATTGACTAGTCTGTAGTAGGGATAAGCTTCATTCGCATGCGGACAGTTGTAGTTGCATCGGCAGGACTGGATCATCATGACGCTCTTGGTAAAGGTTTCTCCATCATCGCAGCGGAATCTGATCTTGACAGTCCTGGTCTGCTGAGGCGTACAGCACCTGCCATCCACACAGGAGCCACAGTACTTGGGGCGGTACTTCTTCACACTGGAACATCCGGCATAAGTAAACTTCACTGGGGCTGGGGACTTCTTAGTCTTGGTACATTTTTTTCCTTTCTGTAAAGAGGAGGCAATATTATTATTAGCAGGAGATTCTTCTCCAGCCTTCACCCTCTACCTGAAGCAGTTGGAAAGAAAAGCAGCACTGGAAGGGTCTGTATTTACCTTTAGGGAGGCATAGTTGGGCTGGCCACATGGCCTCACTTCACATATCCTGGTCTCTTTGACGAGCCTGCAGTCAGGATTGTCGTTGGTGACCCTTGTGGAGAGGCCAGTTCCACATGTCTTTGAGCACTGGGACCAGGAGGTTGTTTGTACAATGCATTTGGGATTCTCAAATGCTCGGCTTTGTGGCTCGGATCCAAAAACTGGAAAAGAAAAGGAGGGTTTAGCCTAAATACATCCTCTCATTGGGTTTCTTTCTTTCCAGCGGGGTCTAAGGAGTCATGCAGCCATCCTCCCACCTCCTCCCCTTCACTGTCACACAGGTTAGCTTGTACTCACCAGGTAGCATTTTCAGGCCTCCTTTCACAATGGCAATTAGCTCATTGTTCCTGGTTAGTTCGCCTTCAGAATCATCCAGACCAAACTCTTTGCTGAAGAAGCCTTCCAGCTCATCCAGTGCATCCTTGCTTTCATCACAGACCCACTCTTCGCAGCACTGCCCGGGGACTTTTACCAGCCGGGGGCTGGGACAGCCCAGGTTGGGAAGAGAGAGCTCCTGCGGGCAGAGCGGGATGCAGCCCACAGCTCCATCTATGCACGTACACTGGTGTTTACAGTTCGGCTGGAAGCTCTCGCCGTTCTGGTAGATTTTGGAGTTATATTCACAGGGTCTCCCCTCGGACTGCGCTGCAGAGATCAACAGAGAGGGAAGGGAGGGGAGTCAGCGGTGGGAATCGCTCCTTCAAGCGCAGTGTTTGCCGGTCTGGTAAATTCGATTTGCGGCGGAGCTCCCTGCAGCCCCCCCGGAGACGCGGGGCCCGAACAATAAGTTACTCAGGAATCACTTTTCCTGATGTGCGTTGAGCGGAGCCCAGACATACCGCATCGCATTCCAGACTGCTGAAGTCA